AAAAAAGAAAAAGGGTTTTTAAATGGGCGATTGATAAAATTAGAGTCACCACTGAAGGATTAAGGAATATAGAGATCATGAGCAAATTTCAGCAAGGAAATTTTGTTAAGTGTGATATCTCCAGAATTCTCACTTGCTTTTCATCTGTACAGGGCACACTTTTTAAAGAGCATCACAATTGGGTAAAATAAAACCATAGCTAGTTTAAAAAAAAAAAAAAAGCAACGATGGAAAAAAATGCTCGTTTAAATGCTCATTTCTAGAACAAAAGGGAATTTAATTTTGACAATATCAGAAGGTTAATTAAGAAGTCTGTTAGCGATGAGAAAGCTGGCACATTTTCAGTTTAGATTGACATGACTCAAGACATAGGCATAGCTAATGTTTGCTCTGTAATACTTGGATAAGTCACAGAATCTGAGGTAGAGGAGCTGGTATTATCTATTGTAAACGGAGGGTTAAGAGCTAGAAGGATGTTTAGTGGACTTGCTTTCCAGTTAAAGAAACCTCTATCCCAGACTAGCTGCACTTGTTATTTTTGTGATTTGGATCCAATAATAGTGATAAAATTGGAATTGGTTTATTCAGGAAACTGTACACACTTTTAGGATGCATTTTAAGTGTAGTCTGTAAGTTGGCTACTGGCTGGGGAAGAGGAGATTTGAGGATCTTGGCGCTGGAAAAGAGTGTCAGGGTCCTCTATTTTGGCCTATATCACCAATATAGAGATCTTTCCCCATCACGGTGGGTTGTCATTCATTCTTTTCTTGAAGACCCAGAATGAATGAGAGATTAGGGCTTCCCAGGGTAACGCGTTCCACTTGGGGACAGCTGTACTCCTTTTGTGCCCTATCTAATTGGAAAAACAGGGAAGTTTTCTAGAAACATATGAAAGGATATATTTCCTTAAGAAAGGAAATATATATACACATTTCAGGAAACATCAGACACCTATATCTCTATGTACTCCTCTAGGGAGGCCTGGGGATTTAATATCCGATAAAAGTTGGGCACTCCGAACAGTCATTAAATGTGTTCGAAATGATGCTTTGTGCTTAGCTGTTTCGGCACATGTGTAGATCAGCACTATTACTTGTCGATGAGAAGGACTCTAATGTGGCTGCGTTACATACCCAGTGATTAATTTCAGAAACAAGCAGCATGTCAATAATAAAGGAGTCTTTGAGATGTTCTTGAGGAAACCTGAAACTTGACTCAAGGACCTTACATTCCAGGGACATCCCACTGGGCTCATAGAGCTCTGCATCAAAAGTTGGTACCTACTGTATATAGAAATGTAAAGTGACCAATGTGTAACATTAAATCAAAACCATTCCTGATTTAGTGCAGATTTTTAATGAGACCTGAAAAAATAAGATTCCTTCTTTTTCATTCAGCCGTCAGGAAACATTGCAACTTAATAACGCGAAAGGCATTTCTGAGGCCCCAGGTGGAGATGCTGGGTCCAGAGAGACCTTTATGAAACAGAACAGGTTAAAACACCTTTCACCAGAAGAGCACAGGCGTTTGGAAAGACTGATCCAGAAGAGGGCAACACATCACGTTTGTGAGCCCAGACAGGGAAACAGAGTCCAGTTTTTACCCCACCCATGCAGTGTGCCACAGCTGCTTCCTCAAAACATTTCAGCTTTTATGAAAGTGATGAGGACACCATCTGTCTGACAGAAACTGGTTTGGATGTTGTCTAGTGCAAAGAGCATTCTGTACTTGATAGAAAGCCTGGGTTTGTTCCCTGCCCTTCAATGAGGGAGGGTGGAATTCCACATGTAGCAATTCTTAGGGATGTCCCAGGCTTGCTCTGTTTTTGACTGTTCCAGTCCTGAAAGAGGTGAGTCTCAGAAAGAAAGGGACAAAAGTCTCATAGCCACTCTGGCTCCCTGCCAGAGGAACATGCTTCCAGCTTCCGTTCCTCCCCTTACCCCACGACAACATGGTCTTAAAGTGGACTGTGTGGAGGACTTGTTAAACATAGATTGCTGCATGGCCCCCACCCCCAGGTTGTTATTCAGTAGGTCTGAGGTGGGCCTGAGAATTTGCATTTCCAACAAGCTCCAAGCCTTGCTGATGCCAGGCCTGGGGCTGCACTTTGAGAACACTGCCCTAAGAGAACCACCAAGGAAACAAAAGAGAGCAGAGCTAGATCTCCCGCTTTCCAGCCAGCTACCTGAACCCACCACTCCCTGGGGGTAATGGAGAGAAAAGGCCCTCAAATGGGGTGGGGGGTGGGGGCGGGCAGGTAGAACTGCTTGTTGAGTGTGATGCTTCAAAGCATTAATTGTGAGACTTTGCCTAAAACATGATGAAATAATTGAAAGCATCATAGCAAGAAGTTAAACCCTAGGGAGGCTGTTAACAACTTAGCATTTCCAGTTCCTGTGGGAATGTCGACAACTTACCAAGGAGAATGTGTGCAGTGGGAGAGGCTGCAGAATCAGCTGGGGTTCCCCGTTGCCTGTGCCTTGACGCTCTTCCTGGAGGAAGAGAAATACAAGTATGAGTCTCTCAGAAGGGCAATGTCAATAGCTTGTTAAGCTGATAGGAATGGGTGTGTCCCTCTTAAGGTGGCCAAATTCTGCAGGGGAAGCGGATGGTAGAGGGTGAAAACAGTGGGGGGCAGGGAAGCCAAGAGGCCCAGGAAGCAGATCAGGTGTTGTTTTCCAGTTTTGAAACCAAGTCAGTTCATTTGGACCCTCTGAAAGGCCCACTCAACACCCCTGGGTTGGACTCCCTTCTGAGAGTTTGCGGTGAGAGGTTGTTTCTCCTAATGGGTCGATGAGTGCCTCCTCGTTGGCACTCCTTGGGCAGGAACCAGGGGGAGGAGATAGATGGATGTCCCAGGAAAGAGCACTGCTGGGGCAGCAGGAGACTTAATTCTGATCTTCACTTTGTGGTTAACTTTCAACCTAGCTTGTGGGCTAGTCACAAGCCCTTAGTTTCCCCATGTGTCAAATGAAGGCGTAGACCTGATGATCTTGAAAGTTTTTTACAATTCAAAAGCCAAAAACAGGTCATGGTGCCAGATACCCAGATACTCTCCTTGATGAGCCCTTTCTTTGCCATGTGGCCTGGCCCTGTGGGGAAATGGGCCCAGCCGCTGCCCCTGGAAATGCAGCTTGTTCAGGGCTGACTGGTGTGTAGACAGAGTTACCAACCAGACAGAAATGAAAGTAGTCAGGCCTGGGATAGATTAACAGTCCTCTCATTTCTTGCTGGAAGCCTATCAAGGCACCTCAGAGTCTCCTCTTAGACTAAATGACAAGGAATTGAAATCAGACTGTCCCTGTGCAGGAGCCCAAGTACCTTGTTGCATTTCTGCTAGGGTCATGGAGGTACCTCAGTTGTGTGGGTCTCCTAAGAAAAGGCTCTCAGTCTTGGTGACAAACCAACTTCTGAAATGGCTAAGATGAGAACCAAGTAAGGAAATGGATTCTCCGATTTCTTGTTGAAAAACAACAATGACTAAATCGGTAGTTAATTTTACCCTATGCTTTCAATACCCTGTTTGTAAAAAACACAGTCAACTGAAGACATACTTGTTTTTTAAGTCCAGTCTTTGCTCTTTTGCTGGTTTGTTTTGTGGCATTAATTCTGTTTGGGGCTGGAGAGGAGGATATGCCTCTGTAGATGGTCTCAGGCTAGGCGAGGCCTCCACAGCCAGCCACCCTTTGCAGACCTAGGAACAACAGAGCTTGACAACAGAGCATTAGAGCTTCCATGAGCAGCATGCCATTGTTACCCACCACGCTCCTCAGGAAAGGAAACCTTGTGCTGACTGCCCTGGCTGTTCTTGGCAATGTGAATCTATATAAGGAGAACAGGATGTATTTTACACTTGGGACCTGCTATCCTAGAGCATAACAACAACACTTTTAAGTGCTCTTAGTATTAAGCTAATGGAAAACATACTCTGTTTACTCACCATCAAAGTCTGTTTTTCTTCTCTCCCTCCTCCCCCAATCATCACAAACTCCAGGCCTCTAGAACATACTGGGTATCTCCTGCTCCATCTCTTCTACACTCTGTCTCAAGGTTGACCTCTACATGGTTGGTTAGCTCAAGGTGGACTTGGAAAAACTAGGAACTTACCACACAAACCATATAATCCCCAGGTTGCACAAACCAAATATTTCTTTTCTCACCCAAGTCTCAGAGCTAGAAATGCTTGATTTATTGCTAGATTTATGTTTATTAGTGTGAGAAGTCATTTCTCCTCACCAGAGTGCAACCAAGTGCAGTAGAATGGAGAAGGTGGGCCGCTTTTTCTGGGTGCTGCTATTATCAGAATGCTGGTTTATCCCTGTCATTTAATAGTGGGATTCCTCACCCTCAAGGTGGGGACTTGGCCAGAGTTATCATAACCCCAGAAGTCTAGTATTTATTCTCCACTGCTTTGTGTTGTTGAGAAGCCATGTCTATATGAGGTATTTTGCTGATGGGATTTTAGAGGGTGGCCCGTCCAAGTCCCGAATGCCTAAGATTTCCCTATCTTTGGAGGTGCAATCCTAAGTACAGCAGTTGCATGTTATTTATTTTTCACTTGGGCATGTCTAGTAAAGTAAATGTATGCATGTGAACCAGCCTTGCAGATAAATCCCTCCATTTTACCAGTCTGCCCCATAACGTTGCCAATTTCCCCCTTGCTATTTACATATCCCTTATAAGACAATAAACAAACAATAACAATCAAGCAAAGGAACCAAACTCCCCCCACCCCCCCAAAAAACACAAGTCCCTTCTCTTTTGTTGAAAAAGACCGAAATCAAAAACAAAACAAAATTGTGGAAATAACTTCATCACTGTTTTTTGGGGTTTGTTTTGTTTTGTTTTGTTTTTTTGATACAGGCCTTGGGCCTGTTAAGTATCTGCAAGGCTGTTGTAATGATGTTAATCTATTTTAATGGAATTGAAATGTGATATCCTGTGGTTTACGATGCACATTGTTTATAGCTTTAGTGCTTGATTTTGGGTTTCTTTCACAGATAAACTTCTGCACTGGAGGGGCCTCTCCTCCCCTCGTTCTGCACACGGAGCTCTAATCCCCACGCCCGGGATGAGTGCAGAATATACCCCGCAGGGTATTTGTAAGTTGAGCATTATTTCTTCTACAAATGTCCATGTGTATAGAGATGAGCGTTTCTGGAAATTACCCTTACTTTTTAAGTACTGAAAGGAGTTACTTCCAAAATAGATTGGCATCCGCATATGTATTATTCCATTACTCACTTGGCACCCTCTCCCCCCTCCACTCTACCCTCTCCTCTCTTTCCCTCCCCTTTTTTCTGTCATTCCCACTGAAGGCACGGAGCTGACAGTAACTCGTCCCTGTGGGTCTCCTCCCCAGGGTCTTACCTGGCTCCATGGCCTGTGATCATAGACCTGTGTGTGTTCAGGGCCCGTTTTATTGCTGGACGTTCACTTCCATGGCCTCATTTAGGACTTTGAGTTTATCCCCTGACATACTTGTTAGCAGAGGCCAGAATCCAAAGAAGTCAGTTTAGAGTTACTCTACAGTTATTCTCATGCATGTTATAGATGCATTTACATGTGTATTTAAACATGGTATATTTGTATATGTACACGGTGTATATGTGTTATATATGTGCACACACAGATGATTTCTACTTGTTTTTCTCCTAGTTTTAGAGAAAAATGCATAGCATTGTTGCTTAAATTCAAAGATACCACTATCACCACCATCACTACCATTAACACCAACCACTTATGTGTGCAAGCCAACTTCTATGGTGGGGACCTTTTTATGAAATTTAGATTTGTATGTTTATAAAAATGCTTTTGAAAGATGTTGTTCTAGAAGATAATACAGTTTGCTTTTCTGTGTAGTAATAAATGGTATGAGTCATGCATGGCTAAAAAGTTGGATGGGGGTGGGGGTCGATTCTTCCCCAAACATGAAAAAGCAGGTTTAAGAAAAAAAAAAAAAGCGTGACACTTCATTTTTATTTAAGGAATTCATTTTTATCTTGAAAGTAAGTGAAAGGTTACCTGTTGTGGAAAGAAGAGAAAGGGAAGGTGTCATGGAAAGAACATAAGGAAGAGCATGATGATGGGGAGTTCAGCTATAAAGGGGACTGGGTTTTAGATGGGAGAGGTAAAGTAGACCCAACCATCTTGTGAAGGGTGTCTTCAGGGCAGGGCATGCGCCCTGAGACCAAATTTGAAGCCAGCTGTTTATTTTGTTAACTCCTAGGTAATCCTAGGTAACAAAGAGTTATTGTATGAATTTCACAAGTCCTCAAGTCCTGAGGGCTGGGCGGTGCAGGGGTTAAAAGCACCTCTTCTGCCATCCCCTCCCCAACACGAAGCTGGGCCTAAGCCTGGGTTAGGTCACTGATTGCAGAGTTTAGGGGGTTGGACTCATGGTTTCGAGTCCCTACATGCTGACTGGGTGGGGAGCGCTCTTCTCCTTTCGCTGGGGGTGCCTGGGGCCCCTCACTGGGCTGTGGGAACAGAGCCACCCTTAGAAGGAAGGGATGAGAAGGGAGTAGGGCAGTAGAGAGGAGGGCGGAGCTGAGTGGCCCAGGGCTGCTGGCCTGGGAATCAGTTCAGGTTTCTCTGTCTTCCGCTGACCCTCCCGAGGGCAGGGGTGGGAAACTAGGAGCCTGCTACAGAATCCATGTCTTCTCCCCCTCTTCCCGCAAAGGGAGGGTACCTAGTTTGCTGGTGCCCGTGCTGGCAGGACCAGTTTAGGAGTGACCAGACAAGGTATGTGGAAATGGCTTGTGGAGTTCCAGAAAGCATTCGAGCAGAGCTGACCCCCACGCCACCCAGCTGCCTTAACCAGCTGCCCTTGGCTTGCAGAGCACTTAGCATTTCCCTGTGGCTTCCCTGCTAGTGGACCGCAGTCATGGGCCTTAAAGTGGCCCCTCCTGCCACCCACTATCCAGGACCTCCCTCCCCTTGGCCCGAGGCCTGGATTCTGGATTCCACCCTTCTTCTGGAAGCCCTTCTGGGTGTACAACCTGGTCAGTCATCATGCTGGGTAACTAATCAAGCCTGTGAGTAATGAAAACTCACATTCACCTTGGACCTGGTAGTTTACATATGGCTTTTATACCTGTCTGTCATTTCAGCCTCACAGTTCTGTAAGGTACTGTTTTTGTGCTCATTTTAACAGATAGGAAACCTAAGGCTCAAAGAAATGAAGTGTCTCAAAGCCATAAGCTGGTAAATAGTAGAGGCAGACTCCCTTGTTTTTCTCAATCCTAAGGCTTAGATCGCATGACTCTTTAGCATTGGTGACAAACTAAAAATGGGCTTATTCCTCCCCATCCAATAAAATGAAATAAAATAAAAGCTGGTAGGTGAGCTAATGGCTGATTTTAACCGTTTGAGGCCTGGAGTTCCTGTGCTTGGGGCCAGGACTCAGTTTATTGCTCTAAATCAAAACAATCTCCGTGAATGCCCAATGAGGCTCTCAAATTGAGAAGTTGATTTTCGTCAGAGTAAATGAAGAATATTATTATATTTTACACGTCAATAAATCAATGTAGCCCTAATTTTGCCACGCAGGAAATCAATTCAGTTCTTTCTAAACCATCAAAGATGTTATGAACAAAGTAATTTCACAAATTATGGCAAGTAACACATTTATTGATGACTGCAGTTTAGGAATTGAGAATCTGTGTGCACTGTAATATAATATGGTGCACTGGCGTGAGCTGAGTGAAATACAGATTATATGGTGAAACTGTAATGCATCATTTGCTATTAGTGGACTGGTAATAATTACCAGTTTCAAAGCAGCTCTTTTGATGTAATCTTTAGTCTCAATCGTAACAGCCCTTCTCATTGACATTATGATTACACTAGCTGCCCTCATGATCTAGAATATCTAGTTGATAGGAATACTAAAATGCGATAGTGAAAACTGTATGTTGTATGCTCATTATAAGATAAAATGCTATCTTCTCTGACCTGATGTATGAGAGGAGAGGGTAACAGCACAGTGTGAGCATAGTGTAGCACGATCACATTGCTGGCTCTGAAAACAAAATTTTAGGAGGTTCAGAGCAGCAAAATAAGATGGACTTTGCCTGTTTAAGCCTTTTTAAGGATACAGGTGAGACCCTTGATGCAGTGCTGTGCACATTTTGGCTCTTAACCATAGCCATGCTCAACGTGCGTGCAAAAGCCAGCTCGCTATTTATGGGTCCAGTCCTGGGATTCAATAGAATATCATAAGCGAAAATATGATTTTAAGGCATTTGGAGTGATGAAAGTGTTAAGGACTTGTTTCAGCTGACAAATCTCCTCTTTACTTATCCAATCCGGATTATCAGGCTAAATGTATGATAATAACGCAGAGTCCTAGAGAGGCAAAGGAGAAAGCCACGGAGGGTCATGGTAGTTGGAACCAGATAAGTTTTTTTCTCCTGCCTATTTAGAACCCAAGTCATTGTTCAACAACAACAAAAAATTTATGAAAATACTCACAATGATACTTTTTATTTCCCTTTGAAGAGAGGAGGCAAACAAAAATAGGCAGATAATGTGATACTACTGTCAGCGTTTTCTTTCAAAATCTTTCTGCCTTTTTTTCCCCCTCCCTTCACATTAGGCAAATGTTGGAAACCTAATTTTGGTATCTTATTATCTAATCTTGTTAAAGAGATTTACCCAGGAGTGGGATATATTGAGTGAGATTATAAATGCATTGTAAAGTAAATTACAAGGTCAGGGCAGGGAGTCCATTATTCAGACAAGCGCTCTGAGCAAGGCTGGCTTGTTTGGGAATGCAAGTGTTTGGAGCTCCTGAGAAGACCCTGCCAGCTTTTCTTTCTGACTTGCTAAATGGAGGAATCGTAATTGATTAATTCCTCATTCCCACTCTAGCTCCGTGGTAGATTTTTTTGCTTTTAAAAAAGTTACTGACAAATACTAGCTGGGGCCTTAAGCGACTCCTCTAGTCCCCCTTTTTAAAAGACGGGCTAAAGTTTATTTCTCATTTGTGTTTCATGCACTGGCTTTTTGAGATCCCTGGGAAGTTCATCTATTTTTCTCAACCTTGCCCTTTGGCCACCAACATTTGGGCCCCATTTTAATGCCGTAGTTGACTGGTAAACTGTTAGTTACTCCCTTGGTGTATATATATTTTTAAATTTAGCTATCTCCAAAAGTGAATGATTGTGAAGTCAAGCTGTCCCCCTCTTTGCCAAAGTGGCATTTACCACTCTCGGGTTCTTTTCAGTGAGAGAGAAATAATGTGACTTAAGCAGGGCCCCTCTCCAGACGGCTTGGCTACTGGCCAAAGAGTTGACTAGCTGAACTGTATCTTTCTGTTTCTTTCTCAACTGGAGCTGAGGCTCAGCGGAGGGCGCAGGATGTTGTATAATTTGGTTCACGTTGTTAGCCTCTCAAAATAATGAGGAGGAGGATAGTGTAGCATTTCTCAGCCTGCTGCCCGTCATGGTGCTGGCTGCTTTAACTGTTCTTAAACTAGGATGCTGTGTCTGCTTAAGTTGGCACCAGCCACTCCTCCTAACTTCTCCAGACTTGCATTTGTTTGACTGGGGGAACAACTCTTAAAGATTTGATACGGCCTGTTGGTTAAATCCGAATTAAATTTCCCTTTTGAGATTTTTTGCAACATCCCTTGAGATAAAAATGGGAGTTCCCGTAGGGTGTTGTGGAACCAGAATGGGGACTCACCAGTCCTCACACAGGCTGGGATGTGAGAATGTTGCTAGTCTCTATTCTTTGGACTCATTTTAGGAGTATCTTCTCATTTTTAACAATATCAACAATTAGTGTGTTTCAGGCTAAGATTAAAAGCATCTCTAAGGCCATAGAGAATTGTAATGAGTTGACCTTCTCTTTTTTGATATCCCTATGAAATGATTGCCTATTTAGAAAGTTCACCTGCCACCCAGGGGAGAATAGAACGATGGGATTTAGGAAGCAGAAAATTTCCCTTAGGTCACCTTGTCCAAGGCCCTCACTTAACAAATGAGGAAACGGAGGCACAGAGATGAAATTGCTTGCCCCAAACCACAGCTGGTGACAGATGGGAGAGTTCAGAAGAGGTTTGCTGAGGTTTCCTAGAATGTAGGGATCCTCATTCTCAAGCTTGAATTGGTCCAGATTTTTCTGCTTTGGAGATTGGACTTAAAATTCTTAGAAGTGAATGAAATGGCAGAGAGACCAATTCGACAAATATTTATTGGGCACCAACCACCAGATGTACCAGGCACCAATTCTAGGCACAGGGAATGTGATAGATCAGTGAGGGCTTAGGCCTGTGGGGTGGAGGGCTGGGGGCAGGGAAGGCTGGAGGTGAAGCATAAATAAGCAATTGCTAATGTCCTCCTCTGTGATTAAACATTGATGTTGGTGTTGTATTATTTTGCAGGTAAAGATGAGCCCAGCAGCTACACATGTACAACTTGCAAACAGCCATTCACCAGTGCATGGTTTCTCTTGCAACACGCACAGAACACTCATGGATTAAGAATCTACTTAGAAAGCGAACACGGAAGTCCCCTGACCCCGCGGGTTGGTATCCCTTCAGGACTAGGTGCAGAATGTCCTTCCCAGCCACCTCTCCATGGGATTCATATTGCAGACAATAACCCCTTTAACCTGCTAAGAATACCAGGATCAGTATCGAGAGAGGCTTCCGGCCTGGCAGAAGGGCGCTTTCCACCCACTCCCCCCCTGTTTAGTCCACCACCAAGACATCACTTGGACCCCCACCGCATAGAGCGCCTGGGGGCGGAAGAGATGGCCCTGGCCACCCATCACCCGAGTGCCTTTGACAGGGTGCTGCGGTTGAATCCAATGGCTATGGAGCCTCCCGCCATGGATTTCTCTAGGAGACTTAGAGAGCTGGCAGGGAACACGTCTAGCCCACCGCTGTCCCCAGGCCGGCCCAGCCCTATGCAAAGGTTACTGCAACCATTCCAGCCAGGTAGCAAGCCGCCCTTCCTGGCGACGCCCCCCCTCCCTCCTCTGCAATCCGCCCCTCCTCCCTCCCAGCCCCCGGTCAAGTCCAAGTCATGCGAGTTCTGCGGCAAGACGTTCAAATTTCAGAGCAACCTCGTGGTGCACCGGCGCAGCCACACGGGCGAGAAGCCCTACAAGTGCAACCTGTGCGACCACGCGTGCACGCAGGCCAGCAAGCTGAAGCGCCACATGAAGACGCACATGCACAAGTCATCGCCCATGACGGTCAAGTCCGACGACGGCCTCTCCACCGCCAGCTCCCCGGAACCCGGCACCAGCGACCTGGTGGGCAGCGCCAGCAGCGCGCTCAAGTCTGTGGTGGCCAAGTTCAAGAGCGAGAACGACCCCAACCTGATCCCGGAGAATGGGGACGAGGAGGAAGAGGAGGACGACGAGGAAGAGGAAGAAGAGGAGGAAGAGGAGGAGGAGGAGCTGACGGAGAGCGAGAGGGTGGACTACGGCTTCGGGCTGAGCCTGGAGGCGGCGCGCCACCACGAGAACAGCTCGCGGGGCGCGGTGGTGGGCGTGGGCGACGAGGGCCGCGCCCTGCCTGATGTCATGCAGGGCATGGTGCTCAGCTCCATGCAGCACTTCAGCGAGGCCTTCCACCAGGTCCTGGGCGAGAAACACAAGCGCGGCCACCTGGCCGAGGCCGAGGGCCACAGGGACACGTGCGACGAAGACTCGGTGGCCGGCGAGTCGGACCGCATAGACGATGGCACTGTTAACGGCCGCGGCTGCTCCCCGGGCGAGTCGGCCTCGGGGGGCCTGTCCAAAAAGCTGCTGCTGGGCAGCCCCAGCTCGCTGAGCCCCTTCTCCAAGCGCATCAAGCTCGAGAAGGAGTTCGACTTGCCCCCGGCCGCGATGCCCAACACGGAGAACGTGTACTCGCAGTGGCTCGCTGGCTACGCGGCCTCCAGGCAGCTCAAAGATCCCTTCCTTAGCTTCGGAGACTCCAGACAATCGCCTTTCGCCTCCTCGTCGGAGCACTCCTCGGAGAACGGGAGCTTGCGCTTCTCCACGCCGCCCGGGGAGCTGGACGGAGGGATCTCGGGGCGCAGCGGCACGGGAAGTGGAGGGAGCACGCCCCATATTAGTGGTCCGGGCCCGGGCAGGCCCAGCTCAAAAGAGGGCAGACGCAGCGACACTTGTGAGTACTGTGGGAAAGTCTTCAAGAACTGTAGCAATCTCACTGTCCACAGGAGAAGCCACACGGGCGAAAGGCCTTATAAATGCGAGCTGTGCAACTATGCCTGTGCCCAGAGTAGCAAGCTCACCAGGCACATGAAAACGCATGGCCAGGTGGGGAAGGACGTTTACAAATGTGAAATTTGTAAGATGCCTTTTAGCGTGTACAGTACCCTGGAGAAACACATGAAAAAATGGCACAGTGATCGAGTGTTGAATAATGATATAAAAACTGAATAGAGGTATATTAATACCCCTCCCTCACTCCCACCTGACACTTCCTTTTTTCACCACCCCCCCTTCCCCAACGCCCTCCAGCCCCACTCCCTGTAGGGTTTTTTTCTAGTCCCATGTGATTAAACAAACAAACAAACAGAAGTAACGGAAGCTAAGAATATGAGAGTGCTTGTCACCAGCACACCTGTTTTTTTTTTTCTTTTTCTTTTTTTCTTTTTCTTTTTTTCCTTTATGTTCTCACCGTTTGAATGCATGATCTGTATGGGGCAATACTATTGCATTTTACGCAAACTTTGAGCCTTTCTCTTGTGCAATAATTTACATGTTGTGTATGTTTTTTTTTTTTAAACTTAGACAGCATGTATGGTATGTTATGGCTATTTTAAAATTGTCCCCGATTCGTTGCTGAGCAAACATGTTGCTGTTTCCAGTTCCGTTCTGAGAGAAAAAGAGAGAGAGAGAGAAAAAGACCATGCTGCATACATTCTGTAATACATATCATGTACAGTTTTATTTTATAACGTGAGGAGGAAAAACAGTCTTTGGGTTAACCCTCTAAAGACAGCACGGAAAGAAAATCTCTATGAGCTAAATGTCTGTCTCTAAAGGGTTAAATGTATCAATTGGAGAGGAAAAAAAGGCCTTGAATTTGACAAATTTTAACAGAAAAACAAAACAAGTTTATTCTATCATTTGGTTTTAAAATATGAGTGCCTTGGATCTATTAAAACCACGTGGATGGTTCTTTCTACTTGTTATAAACTTGTAGCTTAATTCAGCATTGGGTGAGGTAAGAAATCTTAGGACCTAGCATATAATTCTATATTGTATTTCTCACAACAGTGGCTACCTAAAAATATGACCCACTATGTCCTAGTTAATCATCATTTTCCCTTTAGTTTAACCTTATAAGCAAAACTGATTATACCAGTATAAACGCTCCTTTGCTCCTGGTGAGAGCTTAAAAGAAATGGGCTGTTTTGCCCAAAGTTTTATTTTTTTTAAATGATGATTAAATTGAATGTGCAACGTGCAAAAGCCCTGGAATACAATTAAATACGTTAGTAAGGAATTCATTTTATGAAGATAACTTGTTTTAAATAATGTTTGTTCAAGAAATTCTGGCACCAAAAGAAATAGATCCAGATCTACTTGGTTGTCAAAGGGACAATCAAATTGATAAACTTCAAGACCTCGTAGACCATATTAAAAAGAAGAGACTGACAACAAGGTTTGACAGAGGGTAACAGAGGAAGAAAACATGTGATCTTTTAGCACAACGTGGTACTATTTGCCATTTTAAACTAGAACAGGTGTATAAGCTAATATTGATACAATGATGATTAACTATGAATTCTTAAGACTTGTGTTTAAATGTGACATTCTTAAAAAAGAAGAGAAAGAATTTTAAGAGTAGCAGTATATATGTCTGTGCTCCCTAAAAGTTGTACTTCATTTCTTTTCCATACACTGTGTGCTATTTGTGTTAACATGGAAGAGGATTCATTGTTTTTATTTTATTTTTTTAATTTTTTCTTTTTTATTAAGCTAGCATCTGCCCCAGTTGGTGTTCAAATAGCACTTGACTCTGCCTGTAATATCTGTATCTTTTCTCTAATCAGAGATACAGAGGTTGAGTATAAAATAAACCTGCTCAGATAGGACAATTAAGTGCACTGTACAATTTTCCCAGTTTACAGGTCTATACTTAAGGGAAAAGTTGCAAGAATGCTGAAAAAAAAAATTGAACACAATCTCATTGATGAGCATTTAAAAAAAAAAAACTAAAAAAAAAAAAAAACTTTGCCAGCCATTTACTTGACTAATGAGCTTACTTACTCGGACTCAACATTGCAAGCGCTGTGAATGGAAAACAGAATACATTTAACATAGAAATGAATGATTGCTTTCGCTTCTACAGTGCAAGGATTTTTTTGTACAAAACTTTTTTAAATATAAATGTTAAGAAAAAAATTTTTTTAAAAAACACTTCATTATGTTTAGGGGGGAACTGCATTTTAGGGTTCCATTGTCTTGGTGGTGTTACAAGACTTGTTATCCATTTAAAAATGGTAGTGGAAATTCTATGCCTTGGATACACACCGCTCTTCAGGTTGTAAAAAAAAAAAAAAAAACATACATTGGGGAAAGGTTTAAGATTATATAGTACTTAAATATAGGAAAATGCACACTCATGTTGATTCCTATGCTAAAACACATTTATGGTCTTTTTTCTGTATTTCTAGAATGGTATTTGAATTAAATGTTCATCTAGTGTTAGGCACTATAGTATTTATATTGAAGCTTGTATTTTTAACTGTTGCTTGTTCTCTTAAAAGGTATCAATGTACCTTTTTTGGTAGTGGAAAAAAAAAAGACAGGCTGCCACAGTATATTTTTTTAATTTGGCAGGATAATATAGTGCAAATTATTTGTATGCTTCAAAAAAAAAGAGACAAACAAAAAAGTGTGACATTGTACAGATGAGAAGCCATATAATGGCGGTTTGGGGGAGCCTGCTAGAATGTCACACGGATGGCTGTCATAGGGGTTGTACATATCCTTTTTTGTTCCTTTTTCCTGCTGCCATACTGTATGCAGTACTGCAAGCTAATAACGTTGGTTTGTTATGTAGTGTGCTTTTTGTCCCTTTCCTTCTATTCACCCTACATTCCAGCATCTTACCTTCATATGCAGTAAAAGAAAGAAAGAAAAAAAAGGAAAAAAAAAAACAAAAACAATGTTTTGCAGTTTTTTTCATTGCCAAAAACTAAATGGTGCTTTATATTTAGATTGGAAAGAATTTCATATGCAAAGCATATTAAAGAGAAAGCCCGCTTTAGTCAATACTTTTTTGTAAATGGCAATGCAGAATATTTTGTTATTGGCCTTTTCTATTCCTGTAATGAAAGCTGTTTGTCGTAACTTGAAATTTTATCTTTTACTATGGGAGTCACTATTTATTATTGCTTACGTGCCCTGTTCAAAACAGAGGCACTTAATTTGATCTTTTATTTTTCTTTGTTTTTTTTTTTTTTTTTTATTTGGATGACCAAAGGTCATTACAACCTGGCTTTTTATTGTATTTGTTTCTGGTCTTTGTTAAGTTCTATTGGAAAAACCACTGTCTGTGTTTTTTTGGCAGTTGTCTGCATTAACCTGTTCATACACCCATTTTGTCCCTTTATTGAAAAAAATAAAAAAAATTAAAGTACACAATGTAAGCTTCTTGTGTCCTCATTTGACACACTCTGTAAATTACTTTCAAGAAAATAACAGGTTTTAAGAGAAGGCCAGTCAGTCTTTTTCAGGATTATTTCTATGGGCATTTTGATGCGTGTATTATACCCTAAAGGAACATAAAGTGCTTACTATATTAAAATAGACATATCTCAAAACACGGAAATAGTTTTTAGATTTTATAGTTCTAGAATAATTTTCAAGAAATGGAAAGTGTTTTCAGTCTGATGTTAAAAACTTTCCCTTCATCTCTTAATAATCCATTCAGATATAAATGAAAAATTGACTGGTAATAGCATCTTAAACTTTTATTTCCTTTGGATTTTTTGCTCTTCTTGTTGTCTGAAAGTTCTTTTCTATTCTCCCTTCCCTGCCCTATCTTAGAACATAATGTAAAAAAGGATTTTTTTAAAAAAAATCAGCTCTTTCGTTTCCATATGAGTCTTTCTTCATACCCAAAATAACCTCATTCCCCTCCCCCCCATAAATATCCAGAAACAAAGGCATCAGGTTAATGAGAGAGAGAAGTAACCAGTAGTTCAGCCAGATTCGGCAAATCTGTGGAATCAGCCACTGATTTCCTGAGATATGTGGTGGTTTGCCTTGTGATCCTGAGATCCCAGGGACCAGAGATTGGAACAGATCTTTTAGGAGTTTTTATAGTGTCTTCCTGACTGATAGCGAACAAGAGGGGGGAATATCCTTCAGTGATCTTGCCCAATCAACAGATTCATGAAATGAAACATAGCTTTTGAAGAGCAAGTTAGGTCCATTATAAAAACCCCTCCTTAGAAATCTGTGTTGTCAGTTTTACAAATACTGCATGCTGCAGCATCTATTTGCTTTATTAAAACACATACTTCTGTGATACTGTCTCCCTGTTCCCAGTGTAGATGAATGGATACAACGTTGTTCTTCTTTTTGTAAAAACCAAAACAAAAGCCGTTCTGTTGTCTTCTTGTGGTAGCATTTTCGTTGCTCAGTTCTTATGCCCTGGTGCCTGTGAGGTGGCCTTTTCATGTAATGCCTTTTATCTGAGGCAGGAATAGTTTTATCCTTCTAAAATACACGGAAAGTAGGTGTAGTTTTTTAAAGCCAGTTTGGGTGGGAGGCAGAGAGTGGAGGCAGAGAGGAATTCTGGAAGAGAGGATTTGGGGCTGGGTACAGGGCCTGGGATCAGATGGACATAGCTTGCAGAACTTGATAATTGGCAGTGACCTGAGAGGGGATATTTGTGTTTTCAATTAGGTTAGTTCACAACTGAATCCTGGATGCCATTCAAGATAGAAATATTCTCCAGTGCCATGCCGGTTTGCGACTTGGTGACTTCCACCCCACCGTATTAGATGGCCCTAAAACCGCTGTGTGTCCCTATTACTCTTTTATTAGGAGCTATGAGTGCAGCTGTGCAAGTTTTATATACAGTGTTCGTTTTAATTTTTCAGTATATGATGCTCTTAGCATAATTAGGTTTTGCATCCTGACAGACAGAATTAATGGTAGATACTGTATACTTACTTGTATGTTCAAATTTCTTAAATCAAACGGGGGTGGGGAGGGGTGCAAACATGTGATAAATCACAGATTATGTTTGATTTACATGGTCCCAAAGTTAAATAAATTTATTGGGAGACACGTTCTTCAGGATACTCAGTCTCCTGGCTTATTGAAGCCCTCTTATAAAATATGATTTCTGAAGCTGAGTGAACATGAAAATCTAGGCAGCAAGAATATAACTTATAACTGACATCTGTATCTGGAACCCCCAAATTAAAAATCTTAATGCAAAAATAACAAAAAACATTCCCGACAGAGGATAAATTTATGATATTTTTTAAAAATGAGGAAATACTAAGGATATTAACAGTTTTCGGAACTCTCAAGTTTATGCGACACCCCAGATGTGTTGATGCAGTGTTCTTTACGTACCTGAACTCTTAATGCGTCAATGTTCCCTTTTCTCTTCATTTTGAGAACAGCTTCATAATAAACAGGAGTACAGCAAATACTATTTCTCAAAAATTTTAACTTTGAAACCCTCTGAGTGCATGGCCTACCCCCATCCTGAGACCATTTCCTATCTTCTCTTTGTTTAGAATCCTACAAAAGGACTGAAACCAAATCATTGTAAAGGTGGCTAAGAAGTGGGGTGAACACTTGTTTCTTCCTTTATGCCAGCCATGGCAGGAAGTGTGGAGTAGTTGAGTTTTTCCCAGGGCATTTCTGTGCTAGAACTGTTTATTTAAATACCATGTTTGTGTATGTAATGAGTCCATACTGTACACGTTCATAATGCTGGAAGTGAGGATTTGAAAGGCAGTGGCAGTGGGGGTTAGATATCATTTCATTTGGAGAAATCAGGAAAGGAGGTGATTTATTCACAGACACTAAAAGTTTGTTAAAAGGTGCTCGGATATTTCAGGCTTTCCTGAAAAGGAGTTGAGGAGCCTCAGGACCCATCCTGTACTACTTCGAACACTCCTCTCAGAACGCGAGGGGGGAAATACGGTGTTTTGTTTCTTTCTTTCTTTTTTTTTTTTTAAACCTTTTTCCCCCGCTCCGCGTGCACACATAACCGTGAATTCTTAGGACTGTGTTGTAGTCATGTTCTCTTCATTAAGATTCTGTTACTCCATCGTCCCTGGGCCTGGTGTGTTCAAGAATGTACCCATCCCATTCTCTTCTTTTTCAGACAACTTCCCATTAAAAAAAAAAAAGAAAAGAAAAGAAAGAAATGTGGGAATTTTGCCAGTGTGAGGATGGGATTGGCAGTGTTCTTTAAACCTGCTTGGAAAAATGTTTTTTAAAAGACCGTTAACTTTTAACAGGCACGAGACACTTAGCAAATTTTCCTAAGTGTCTCCTAAGGCCTTGCCGCTTTCCCAATTAAGACTAAGTGAACCCATGTTCAGAGCAACGGACATCAGAACACACAGCCAGAATTGGGATTATGGACATTTATTCCAGGGCTGCTCTAGCTCCGAATTGTAGACATGGGTTGTTGGGTGTGCACTTTTCCTTGCTGTCATCTTGTTATCCCATTAGCCCTCTGTTTCACTGAGTAAAGCACATGGCCAGTGAATCAGCCTTTAGGGGGATGGGTCTGTTTCTCTCTCTCTCTCTAGTTCCCAGTGTCATATGTGGTCATGGGAAGCGATTAATTCCTCCCTTCCAAATGGGAAAGGAGACCAGTACAGTTCACCTGGGTCGTTTGTACTCAAGAACCTAAACTTGCCCGAACACAACTCCAACGGTTGATCCAAATACTGTTTTTTCTTTCTGTAAAGTGGCAAAGACTACTTAAAGGGAGCATATATATCAGGTCCTTGTGATTCAGCAGAAAAGGCAAAGTAAGCGATTTCCCCAAAGTCTCTCCTGTAATGCAGGAACCCCCCCAAACCCACAGGGGGCTGTGCTTTTCAATAACGGTGAGCGTGGTACATGCCCGGGCTGTATTTTGTCTGTTAGGGCTTACAATACTCGTAGCAGGTCTGACAAAGGGGTTCAATGGGGGTATCAGCCAGAGGGGCCTCAACGACAGTGGCAGGGCTGGACTGGGAACGGGGTTCCCCAGAGCCCACCTGGACACAGGAGGCCCCCCAGCCCCGAGTCTCCACTGCGCGCAGGGGGCGTTCGGGAGAGCAGCTGAGCTCCAGACCCTGGGCCTCCTGCAGCGCCAAGTCTGGGGAGAGGAGGCCCCAGGCCCCTGCTTCGGGTCGCCATGGCAACGAGCCCTGGAATGCCACAGTGGTAGCCCTCTTCCTCGGCACATCCGGACTCCCAGTTCTGCTGCTTCAAGTCAATGTAACACAGCAAAGGGAGGAACCCCGGAGGAGAATAACCACTCCCTTCTTCCCTTCACCATTGCCTTTCCCCCTTACCAAAAAGAAAGAAAGAAAAAAAAAAAAAAAGAAAGAAAGAAAGAAAGAAAAGACAACTGCATGTTTGAAAGAAACTACAGGCAGTTTTTGGTGCAATTTGGGAGCAACTATTTTGGGCTCTGGTTTCCTCTTCAGAGATGTGTTCGCCTCTTGTAAATCGTTGGCTGCTTTGACGTTGAACTTGATGACATTTCATGTTTTTGTTGTGCTGCTTTTACATCAATTTTGAGTTTTTGTTTCTTTATAATTTTATTATTATTTTAAGGAAATGTTCCCCTTCCCTCCTCCCTCCCCTGTTCTCCTCAACCAAAGGACTGTTTCCTACTCAGTTTTCTCAGTCATAAGGGAAAGTGTTTCCTTCCAGGTGTGTCCCAAGTTTATTAGGGCTACCATACGATCGATCGGGTAGCGGGTCTGGGTCCTTTGCGGGGAGGGCAGGGAGGGAGGCATGGGAAAGGCACTCAGGGGGCAGAGATTTGGGTGGGGAGGGGACTGGGTTTGAAATCATGTTTAAGGTGCCAGTGGCTCAACCTGTGGTTGATTTAAGTTATAATTTTAAAGAGCTAGTTAGAGAACAGAAAATCACTGGGCCAAGTCACACCTGTACTTTTTTTTTCCCCCTCCTCTGTCTCCAACCTCTTTCTAGGTTCTTCACACACCCCCATTCGGCGTAGTGCCCAGAGAACTCAAGATGTGTGGCAGTTTTCGGATGGAAGCTCGAGAGCCCTTAAGTTCTGAGAAAATTTGAAGCCCCCAGGGGCGGGGTGGACGCGTGCCGCCCAGCCGACATCTGCGTGGTCTGTCATCCTGCTAGTTTGTGATGTTTTCTGACAGTAGCCTCCAAGAAGCCGTTGTGCGAAGACAGAGTCCTGCAGAGTCCTTCCCGCCCGGGCCTGCAGTGCCATTTTATTTATATTTTTTAATAAAAAGTAAAAACAAAAAAACAGACCCACATTGGAACAGTGAATCAGTCCCATATAGAGGGCCCATGGACCATCGGTGTCCTGAGTGACGTCCTGGGCCTTTTGAAACCAGCCAACCTAATTACCTGTATTGTGGAATCGAGCATGAGTCCCCCAACCCCTTGTTTCTATACATTCTATGTTGTCTTTTAAAAAGTGTGCTTAACATTGACACAATAAATGTTGGAGCTTTAGGTGGTGTTTGCTTGTTCTTTAATTATTAATGCTTATAAGACAATGCAGCTGCTTATGACTTTGTATTTCTGTACCCGTTTCCTGCAGACATCCATGGGGGGGGGGGGAAGGAGGAACAGATTTGAGGAATGGGTAGGAGGTGTAGGAGGGGAAAGAGGTTACTGCTTATCAGATGGCATAAATTTTCAAGGAGAATCAACATGGAAAACTTGGGAATAAATCATAGCAATATCATAATTAATGTAGTCGTAGTGTTGCTGTTTATTAATGCTGAAGTGTGGTTTTCCTAACTGTCTGACTTATAATTTGCATACCATTAAATAATGCATAATATGGCACGCTGAATTCTGTTTTTCAAATATATGCTTTTGGTGGCTACCATGCAGGATTTGAATTTGTCTTTTAATTTAGCTCAAGAAAGATAACGTCATTGGGCTAGTGGTAAATCCCAAAGAAGGTGATAAATGTCAGTAGTGGCTTATTAAATATTCCAATTTTAGGTTCCCAAACTGTGGCAAATTTATCTTAATACAGACAAACAAACACACCTAAAACTTCTTTATTACTTACATTACTTACACCAGGAAATTTGGGGCAGATTTTATAAGGGGAAAAATTGTAGGAGGAAAGAGGTTCCTTTTGATTATAATCGTGACGTCCATTCCTTAGAAATTACTGACACAAATAAGTTAGGTCTACAAACAGGTGATAAAAATCCCTTCTGGTCTAGTTCATTTGCAAAGAACTTTTCTCAATTTGGTGTTTTCTATTGCCTGGAGAACCAGAAGAGAGCTAGAAACAATATAGCATATTAAAATAGGTTTATAAATAATAGAACTCAGACACCTGTGTATTATAGATTTACATGTTGGCTGTGAACGTAAGTGGGGAAAATCTTACCCACTCACCACCCTCTGGCTAGATTGCCTAGCCTAGTGAGAAGATAGCAAGATAATTGGCATCTGGATTCTTTCCTGCTTATTCATCATAAATAATGACTTCTTACAGTAGTGCATTGCCTTATACTTTATATAGTGCTTTCATGTACCTTATTTCATCTGATCCTTGCTGGGACAGACCTCACAACTTGCACTCTGTGGGTGAGAAGACTGAGGCGGCGACAATCAGGGAGGAGAGGAGGGAAGCCAGGTGTTCTGTGTCTAGTTCAGAGCTGATTTCCCTGAACTCTATAACTGACCAAAGAGAGTGTCTCTCCCTGTGCTAGCACACAAGCCGTAGAAGTTCATAAACACACCCAAGCGTGGCTTATACACACACAGATCAAGGATGTCCATAGGTAAGGGCACATAAAGTTGTCTCTTTATACCAAGAGCTGTGTGCACTGCAGGAGAAGCTTGGAGCAAGGGTCCCTCCTTGCCATAGCTCCTTGGTGTCTTTTCCATGACAGATAAATAACCCTGATTCACTAGGTGGCCTTGAAGAGTTTTTGAGAGTTCCTCTCACCTAGGTGAGATGGGACTTCCAGACAAGAGTTATTTCATAGAGAAACACTCTCCCTGCCCCATGCTCTGCCTTTGTGTTGTTGAAACCTGAGACCAATAGGGATTCTGACAGCATCTTCCTTGAATGTGCTAAGCTCCTTGCTGATACCTAGAAAAAGTGACACCTTCCAAAGGGACACCTGACTGAAATAGAACTATCAGGGTTTTTTCGTTTTTGTTTTTTTGTTTTTTGACAAGTTAAGCCTTGGGAACTGCAGTTGGTGTTCACTACACTCTCATTTCTGGTCTATGTTTCCACCACCGCCTCTTATTTCTTCTCAGCGTCAGCCAATGGGCAATCGTAAGTTACTGCATAATTGTAAATAATTGGATCCATTGCAAATAAATGGATATTTCTAGAAGTGGGATTTTTGGTTTTTTGAGGGGGTAGGGGAGGAGTGAGGGAGTGGGTAAAGGGCATCTTTCCTTCCTCCCCCTTTTGGAAAAGATGCTTCATTAAAAGAATAAAGACCGTCTCCTTCTCCCCATATCTTCTGTAGCTGAAAGAGAATAAGAGTTCATTTATGAAATTCATTATGAAATGATGGTGTTGTGCTAGGGCTAGAACTTTTGAAAACCCACACAGGATTGATGATTTGGGAAGACATCCCCCTGTGTGATATGTCAAGGTCATGGTTATCTGTGAATGGTGGAAGCTGAAGAAGGGACTGACAAATCTGATCAGGGTCCTCACTGTGCCCTCTCCAGAGAGTGAAACTTCAAACTGCAAAGAGATTAATTGCTTGCCCAACACGTACTGAGCACGGATTAGAGGACACAGTCTTGGGTACTCGGGAGGGTGGGGACCAAATACGGGACATTGTGCTTACCCTGCGAAACCTGGTCTATCTATGAACATTAATTCTGTGGTCTGTCCACACTATCAACACTGAACAAAAAGGTCTGGTTAGACTTCTGAGTCCATGATGGCAAGACTTAGCTCCCGTATCACCTCGCACCCAGGCTTTTGAATATTGACAGTGTTGGAGAAAAACTGGTGGTAGTTTAAAGAAAAATTTAGGCAAGGAGAGCAAACTTGGATTCTACTGAGGTCTCACTGAGTGCCCCAGACTTGAGCAGAATGTCTCCTGGTGGCTTTTGCTTAGCATTTTCAATAATATTTGTATTAGAGTCAAGTCTTGCAAAAGGTGAGGGACATCTTTCAAGTTTTGTGTGCACTGACATGATTTTTCCTTTTTTTGAGGGCTAGTTGAGATCGGTGTTGAAGAAGCTGATTATTAACATTAACATATTTTTCCTCTGTGTTAATGTTTATTCTGTCAAGAATTCTTACTTTACAAATCAGTGTCTCCAGGAAGTAGTGGTAGAGAGGATCAGAATCAAAGTATTTTGTAGGCTGTTTCTTTTTTCCCATGCCATGCTTTGGCTCCTTTTGGGATACAGTGTGAGGAAACAGATTTGAGGAATTTGCATACTGGCTGTGAAGTTGATAGGAAGTTCAACTGGAAGTTACAAGCACACTGTCCTTCTCCACGGATCCATCCTGTCCGAGTTCCTAACCAACAGGGAAACAATAATGCTACTTCTTTTCTCACAGTCTCTAGCAGAGACAGTACTCTTCAGTTTGCACTTACATTAAGATGATGAACTTCACCCTTCCAGAAAAATCCAGAAACATAATTATTTTCCTTCCCGCCTTAGTGTAATTATGATACCTCCTTGTTAAATCACGTTACCTTTCCCCTGCCTTTATATTTTTAAAAAATGCTCCCTGAAAACCCTTAAGGTTTATAGAACACTTTTATAGACATGGTACAACCAATTTTCCTAGAGATTTTAGAAAGGTAAGCCAAGAGCAGACTAAAGCTGAAAGGAACCACAGCCATCAGTCATTTTACAGATCAGGGCAGGAGAGTCCCAAAGATGAAATGAAGGATCTAAGACCACACAGCTTGGGGGGAAAAAAGGAGAGCCGAGTTCCAAACCACACAGTTAGTAGCCGAGTCAGAACTGGAACTCAAGTCCCCAGTGTCTTTGCAAAGGAATTCAAGCGGCCAGTCTCTCCCTTGTGACCTCCTGAATTCAAAAGCAAGAATGGCAGGAAAGTGTGCATTACGGAAGGTTTTAAGAATAAAATTGAAAGCTTGTTTTGGTGCCAGTCCTACTGGGGAGCATGTGAGCATGTCCCCTATTTCAAGGGTTTCTAAGCAGCATCCCGATGGCAGAAAACATTTAGGTCACTACCTGGAAGCATTCCTTCTTCATTTCACCCCTCTGATGGTAGGAATAAACTTAGGGACCAAGAATTGCTGCGAGACAGCTTTTAAAGTTAAAAGGGCATAAAAAAGAGCTACTCATCAAACCAAATTCATCTCAAATGACTTAAATAGATTTCACAATCTGTTCCATTTTCTAGACAGGATTTAAGAGAAACACCCACTTAATTTGAATTTTAAGGCCACATCACATCCTGTTCGAGAATCCAAATAGCCAATGGCATGACCTGAATCTTGTTACTGGGGATATTTAATTTTGAGTTCGAAGATGGTGAAATAGCAATGAACTACAGGGAGGGTTGACTGAGATTGTTTCCAGCTCTGGATTGTGAGGACTAATCACCTTCCTATGCTATGGAGGCCGTGCATTCTTTTTCTGTGCAACATGAAATCTTACTCACTCGCCGCTTGGTAAGGGGCTCCTGGCTCTGTTAGAGATGTACAAATCCTGTCTCACCCTTTTATTAGATCTGCTGTGTTCAGTCCTTCTGCCACCATTTCTTTTCTTGCCAGCCACCCTTTGATTCATGTTCACTCCTTTGAATGGACATGGGTTGACTTTGAATGTCTCTGGGCCTGATGGGGCTGCAGTTGTGTGCAGCAGCTGTTTAGAGCCTGCGAGGGCAAAGCCATCCCTGAAATAGGAGCCGGACAGCAGGAGGTCTCTCAGAGCAGCAGCGAATCAAATATCTCTGTCAAGGATGGTCTGAGAGGAAGTAATTTGCCTGATTTTGTTCCCCCCTGGTGATAGTTCCCTGAATTTCCTGAAATGGCACTGCCAACAGGCAACTTCTGCCGACTTCGCTGTCCCTTTCCGCTCCTGTCTCCTGGCTGACATGTCCTCTCTCCTCAGACACATCGAAAGCCTGCTGAGATGACCGAGGAGATTACCTTCCACGGGGGCCTAAGGTTTGCAGAGTTGCTCTGTCCCCATTTCAGAGTGCCCGATGTTTCACCTGTTGCTTACCGCACCACACAAAGGGGAAAAACCAAAATGCAAATACTCCTTCTCAGAAATTCACTCAAAGCTCAGAACTCTGAACATGAGAGATTTCCCTTTAAAGCAGTCCCCTTTGTGCGGATTTGCCTGTAGCCACTACGCCTTGTTTGTGGAGTTCTTTTCATTTTTCAGCTTCTTTGAGAGTACGTTTTCTTTTCCCTCTGACAGGATGATGTACTGAGGATGGATTCCTGGAGGTTATAGTGCAGGCCAGCAAATGGTGCCAATCTCTGAGTCGGCATCTCTGGGCTGTGATCTTG